GGACTTTGAAATTTCCTGTATAGAATTCCGTTGCGCACAAACAACGATGATGTCCCACCATCATTTCGTTCGCAAACTTCAGCTGTCTCCGCGAGCCTCCACATCTTACTAAGTGACTTGTCATCCTTTTGCTCACGCTTTAGGTCATCTATCGTACAATCCTGTAATGCTGATGGTACTTTCATTGGCCTATAGTGTTTCTCTGTTTCCTTCCTTTGAGCTCTAGTTTCCACCGCATGTACAACAGGTTCTTTAACCTTCCATTCTGGATCTGGATCCTTAGGTTCTCTCGCACCTTCAACATCTCCAATGATGAGGTCATATAATGGCGACTCAAGTGTCCACACTTCCACACGACCTGTCAAGAATGGTGTGTCCACAAAGGCATTTGCAACTGGTGCGAAGATTGGCGTTCCATCTGCCAGGTAACAAGTCTGAATCTTCCCGGTCAGCTGATGTGATTCCACTAAACTTTTCCTTACAACAACTCCATCACAACCACTGTCCCTCAGTACAGTCACAGAGTGATCACCAACATACCCTCTACTCACAGGTCGTGACCTCTTACCCAATCCAGAGTCACAAGAGTTGCTCAGACTGGCCACAGTCTCTTCACTTTTACCACGTCCTCTACTACCTCGTTTTCTGGTACCTTTACCTCTTGTCGATGTTTGACGATTACACGTTGTCGTTGATGAATCTACAGTCACTGCTGCAACATTCTTGGTGTTTCCCGGTCTCTTGTTTCTACACTCAAACGATAGGTGTCCCATCTTTCCACATGAATAACACTGTCTGTTGCTATTGTGGTTTCCCGATTTTCCAATCTTGCTGTCAGAAGTATTGGTCACGTTCTGGGACGAAGTCCTCTCCATAGGTTTGCTACTTGCTTTCCCAGACATCATACCTGACGTAGACCCTCTCGCTTCAGCATACTGGTCTGCTAACATAGACATCCCATGCATGGCTTTTGGAACTCGCTCCTTAAGAAACAATGCTAAATCCTTTCCACAACAGTGAATGAATTGATCTCTTATCATCAAGTCTTTGAGGGATTCAAAGTCCTTGGCCGTCCTTGTCATGTCTAACCATCTCATAAAATAGCTATCTAATCGAAAAGCAAACTGAGTCAATGTTTCTCCCGTTTCAGGCCGTGTTGAACGAAACTTCTTCCAAAATCCTTCCTCAGTTAGTTCGAACCTCGTCAGCAATGCTTTCTTTAACTCCTCGAAATCCAAAGATTGTTCCATGGGAAGGCGGGAAAACACATCCAAGGCTCTACCCTTTAACAACGCACTAAGGTTGGCTCCCCATTGCTCCTTCTTCCACCCTTGAACTATGGCATATCTCTCAAACCGATTAATGTAAGAGTTCATGTTATCTTTTCCTTCCTCAAAAGCAGGTAATTTAGGTCCTTTAACGGCATTTGCATGCATACGTGGAATGTCCCTTACTCCCTCATTCTGTCCCTTTGCTTCTTCTTTAATCAAGTCTAGCTTGCGTGCATGGTTTCTCTCAGCCTGTTCCTCTCTAATCTTCTCCATTTGTATCTCATGTTGCCTAGCAGCCTCAGCCTGTCTCTCATCTCTTGTCCTTTCACGTTCATCACGTTCTACAGCTTGCTGACCTGTCACAAACTGCTGCAAATTGTCACCTGTAAGTCCAAGCTAGGTCCCCATGTCGAAAAGCTTCTCTATCCCCGACATAATTAAGCTGGAAAACAATCCTTAATTACCATGCACAGTAAATGAAAGACTAACAAACAACAACTCTCAAACCTCTCAAACTCATTTACCTGTATATTTCCTAGACTCACTTCTGACTTACCTTGTAATATATAACAGGTGTCACCTCAGGATCCCACCGCTGCCACCAATTTTGTAACGTTGGACGACCGGTCGGTAGCTGAGAGAATACAGAACGATTTGTTATACAATATCTACAAGTTTATTTACAATAATTATTGAAGAAAACCCCCATAAGTATGTACTCACACTCACAAACACACATTCATACATTCAACACTAAATGTCATTACTCCGGTTGGTGGAGTCACAGTTGCCGCTTGTATATCAATAGTTCCACTGTCTATGTGGGCAATACCCAATACAATATGGATAGGATCCGATGGACTAAACAAGTCTCACAAACTTGTGTTCCGCTTCACCATATAATCCACGTCCGCTAATCATGGATATATACCCCACCGCAGAAGGGTCTAGCACCGATGTGCTGAGAACGGTCTAGCACCGATGTGCTATGTTGCAGGCCTCCGGCTCCGCAGATGACCTGAGGACTGCTCCCTCACTAACGAATGATGTCAGTACAACTATGAGTTGTCTGCCCTTGCAGAACTGACACACCGTGTGAAGCACCAGTTGTCTGCCCTTGTGGAACTGACCCAATGTGTGTCGCGCCAGTTGTCTCGTCCACATTCCTCTCACCTACCAACCCGTTCATGGAAATCTATAATTAATGAACATACATCCTAACACTATTGCCCATACACACAATACAGTAAAACCTAGTTATAATATCACCGTAAATAGTACATGTAAATATACATTGACTCACTACATAGATATATCAATGTATGGACGTTAGTACCAAGCATGTGCATGTATTTTATTAACACTTATTATGCGGACTAATTATAATATATCCAACTAGATAAATTATAATAAGGAATACTAACCACCATAATATCGGATATCAACACTAAAGGATAGATACCGTAATCTTACAGAAAGTGCCTCACGCTTACCTGTACAATCACTAATGCGTAACACCTGCATACGTGCATTAAAGTATTTAAACTAACATTTTGATCTCTTATACAAGTATAACATATGTATACTAAATCATAGATATATATACATATTCATAATATGGATACTTAGTTAATATAGTAGGGTACTAACATGCATATCCCTATATACAATACATGTAAACAATGTTCCTCATGAACGAACCGCACCTACATATTAACGATACACAGTACATCCACATGAATTAGCTTATTGCGGTCATTCACCAGTAACTGATGCAACATATATAGCGTATAATTAGCAACAAAATCACTATAATACTGACTTACCACATCTCAGGTGTTATGTGTCTGAAGTCCGGGTGGTTTTTTATGGCACGTTGACATGCACGTCCATCTTGGACAGATCGGCTCTCGTGCAGTACTTTTACCACTCTCGGACGCTCTCGCAAACACATACTCACCTCGAAGCGGGAATATTTAAAAACCGAGATTCATGCAAATAAGTATAAAACAATATACATTATCAATACTAACATAAATATATATATACAACATCTGTACCAATATGCGATCGTGTCAAAGATAATTCAAGTCTATGCAGATGCGAACAAGACTATACATGTCTAAATTATATACGCTTTAACATTTATTTGTTTAGTTACTCTAAGGAAATGCTTTAATACAGTTAGGGTCATTTCTTTTATGAAACTTTTAAATTATGAAAAAATGGAATGAACCTCTAATTGAATCTATTGAGAATTTGAAAATTAAACCACTTAATGTGCGTAAAATGAGAAAATTATTTATTTTTAAACTTTATTTGAATGTGTTTAACAAAATATGGAATGCAAGTTTAAACCTATACATCAGGGGGTTATAGTGTGCATAGGTAAATCTCTATCTAGAGAAATCCCACTTAAATTACAAAAGACTTCCTAATTTTACAGTGTGTACAATAAAAGATTACGGATGAATGCTCCACACAAAGACAAAACCTTCACTGGAGGCTGTCCCTATTTATAAATGGCTCAACAATTTTAGCAAAAGATAATTCAAATCTATACACATCAGAGCAAGTATATACACATCAGAGCAAGTCTATACACATCAGAGCAAGTATATACACATCAGAGCAAGTCTATACACATCAGAGCAAGTCTATACACATCAGCACAAGTATATACACATCAGAGCAAGTCTATACACATCAGAGCAAGTATATACACATCAGAGCAAGTCTATACACATCAGAGCAAGTATATACACATCAGAGCAAGTCTATACACTTCTTAATTATATATAGTCCTCTTGCTTAAGTTATAGGAATGTTGAGCTTATAATTTAATGAACCATCTAATAGTATTTGTTCTACCTCCCCCCTCGTCAGGTCTGAATCATATATGTATACCCGAAAAAGTCCTACCCTTGTCTAAATGAACACTGACTTATAAAAATGTAAATAAGAAAACAAACTTCTGATATACTATTTTGAAAACAATGGCTGATGAATCTACTGTAAGACTAGCCATTCTCGGAAATGGCGTTCATAAATTCGTTTTATGCTCATACCATAATAGAATTTTCAATAATTGGATATGAAATGACTGTTGATATAACCACATATATGGGCAATGGTGCAAGAAAGTATACCTCAACACCAGCAACAGTTGTATTTGTGGGATGAGGTAACCTACCTTGTTTGTTGCATATCTAAGCCGTTTATATATAGTTAAAACATCCTCGTTTTGATCAATATCCAATACAATCATGAGGGAATTATTAGGGTGTTTTGTTTTTGCATTAAAATCACCAATTAATGCTATATTACCTTCACTTTTTGTTACTATTCACTCATTTCTTTCTCATTTCATTAAATGCATCTATAGACGAATATTTATAATTCTAAGGTGGAATATAAACACATCCTTATATCAGACCATGCTCTAAGCAAGGAACAGTTTTTGTCAGTTTTACCCATTGGATAAAATCAGATTTCGTGTTATAAAAATGTAAAAATGTAATCATAAATGGTTTCAATGTCTTTTTTATGTAACAATTATACCACCAGATTTGTTTTCGCTTTTGAACGATTTATTGCAAAATGCATTTAATCAGATGGTACTCGCAGTATATCAAGAGCATCTGTCTTACTTTCAACAAATACCAAAATATCATAAGCTCACAATAATATTTCATGTATACACCTGCAGTCCTGCACATTAAGCAAAATCAAGCAATATCGTATTTTTATCAATCATAAGCCAGTTTAGTATGACCATCTTGTACCCTGACAAAGCGGACGGCTCGTAAGAGTTAGCAGTTTCATGCCCAATTGGATTGAAATCGGACAATTTTAAATTTGGACCAATCATGTGCCAGTGTACAGCAGGCTTGCAGTGAAATGAATGTGGTGCCATCATGCACAGCATTTGTGGGAATCAATAAGTCCTTGAACTCGGTATTACTCACAATTCTTCAGAAATTGTCAAAATCATTACAAAGTAGGAAAAAATGGTTCAAGAGGGTAAATAAAACTAGAAATAAGTCATACAAAACGTAGTTCTTACCAATATAACAGTGTAAAAAATTACATGAGACTTCGAATACCGTCAACAATGCCGTTGATTACTCCTTTTACTGATATGTACAATTATGAATAGCATTGAAAGTAGTGATTAAATAAACAGAATATAGACAATTGTTTACCGATAACTCAACTCACCTATCCCATGCTTGATAAACACTGCGTTATTCGTGCCTCTTCTGGTTAATTCTCTCCGGATATACTATAGGTGTGTGAACTGGTCACCTGCTGCTATATCCTGACATCCTCCCCTATTTATGTCTCCCTCTCCGCCCCTGTACCCGTTTACTTTCCATCCCCGACATGGAAATCTCCTGACAATTCAATATCACTATTTGTCTGTATTGTAGCGCAAACATTGTGCAGTAAACTGGTGTGTACATTTTGATTTTCTGAAAATTTAACTGACATATTGAAGTTAAAGTTGAAGTTAGTTTCCAATACAAGAGCCGATAGAACTCCTCTACACTCGGCTCAAAACTTAAACCATTGCATAATATAAAGTTAAAGTTCATTGCAAATGAAATGAAAATCAGCATTCTGTACAACACATTGAATAGAGCCTTTACACACCGACCTTAAACAAAACGTTGTACTTGTCACGGATGACTGTATTTGTTTTTACATATGTTGATGGGATACCTTTCCCCACACCCAAAACCTCTCTACACTAAAATGACACTTTACATATGTTGATGGGATACCTTTCCCCACACCCAAAACCTCTCTACACTAAAATGACACTTTACATATGTTGATGGGATACCTTTCCCCACACCCAAAACCTCTCTACACTAAAATGACACTTTACATATGTTGATGGGATACCTTTCCCCACACCCAAAACCTCTCTACACTAAAATGACACTTTACATATGTTGATGGGATACCTTTCCCCACACCCAAAACCTCTCTACACTAAAATGACACTTCAAAACTTGTCAAGGAACTTGAAATCGTTACTTAAAAATATCTGATAAATTTAATTCTATCTTGAGTTTCATTCAAAGTATCTGTTTTGACGTGTTTTAATGAATATATGCAAGGGTTTATGGATGTGCGGAAAGTTAAAATCCTTTTATGTTTTTCAAATAGTTCTTACATGTAACAAAACAATCCTGTACCAATAGCGTGTTTTGACATACTGTGAAGTAAGTGAATTCTAGTATAATGACTATAACATATTTTCTTCTCTATAATCTGTTGATTTGTGACAGCACTTTGTTGACCCCTAGGTGCCATGATAACAGTTACAAAACACCAGCGTGAAATAATGATGTATAATCTTACTGTTTCACATGTAAGAAATGATACTGAATCTGTCCATGTGTTGGTTATAGTGATACTTTGTAACAATACATCTGGTACATCAAATAATGTTTGCAGTTATGATGGTAATACTGATGATGATGATGATGATGATGATGATGATGATGATGATGATGATGCTTTTGATGATGATGATGACATTTGAGTGTAATCTTGCTTTTTCATACTTAAGAAATAATGATGAATCCAACCTTGAAATAATGCTGAATCTATCTTTTAAATATTGCTGAATCTGTCCATGAAATAATGCTAAATCTGTCCATGAAATAATGATGAATCTGTCCATGTGTAATCTACTCTCTCTGTCATGTTTGATTTGATTGATGTTATTTTGTTTGACCTCTTGTTACACACTTTGTGTGTCAGAGCGTAATAAAAAAATCTTGAAATCTTGAATCTTATATATGTACCTGTGTATATAGAGCCAAACTAGGATGGTTGATAAAACCTCGGGTTTCGTTTGATACATGTGTTTTTAAATGATACGGTCTGGTTTCCTCGATACAGCTAAATGTGTATCGTGTATTAAATATATAAATGTCCATTCTGGTTTTGCCTCTCGCGAACTGTGTATTTCTTTACGCTGCATACGCCTGGCATCAACAGTTGGAACCTTAGGTGCTGTGCTTCCCGATGGTGAAGATACTTAAGTTATATACATGTAGTTTCAAATTTGAAGGTTTTTCTATGCACTTTTCCCCCCAAAAAATAAACAGCTTCCAAGAGAAACGTTTAGTTTACTGATGCTTAAAATTTGGGTTCAAGACTCAAAAACTTGCGGATAAGTATAAGTATCGCACAACTCTTCTTAACAATAATATCTAGGATAGATCTTTTCGGCTCACAAAAAAACAAAAATATTTCTATTGATACAGTACAAATTCTGTTTGAGAACCAACTGTTTTAAACAGTCTTTTTTAAATATCTGTGCTATATATTCGACACTCGATCCATGTTGAAATGAAATATTTGAAATTTGAATCCTTTTATAGTACTTACTTCCGTAACCTACAAGCTAGGGACATGTCACATACTACCAGGCACACACATATATATAATGGAAGATACATAACACATGGGCATCACAGTATATATACATATTATGTACTTTATATCTTTATATACTGTGAAACACACCTTATTAGCATGTGACATGTCGCTGTAACAGACATCTTAAAAGGGAAGTAGGGGAAGTATTCTTAGAAGCCAATATAAATGCATCTAATTTAAACAGTACATAAAAGTAATAGCCCCATAGGCCTTAACAGTCGCCTGAGTTATACACCAATTGTTATTCGTTATTATGATATGACAAAAACAAACATTACATATGTATAGCAGGTTATTGTCAAATAAAAGTGAAGTAATGTAGCAAAGTAAACGTTATCCCTTCCCAGGGAGGAATAGACGCTCCGGCCGGTGGTTGTGAAATTCATATTTTGATTAAGCACATAATGATATCACCATCCATAATAAGGTTTTAATCGTTATATGTCATTTCAATACATCAAAAGAATCTCGCGGTCACGTAACGGTAAAAATTGACAGGCTTTGAAGTCGAGCGTCTCTCTTTTGTAATCTTCAAAAGACAGGTATCAGTTTAGCGATTGGGCAGTTTTTTGTACCTGAGACGAATCAAACAGCTATCTTCGTGCCTTCAATTTTGTTATGACAGATTCCAGGGGTGTAGAGAGCAAAAGTGAGCGTAAACCCTGGATATAGAGAATTGTATTCAGTTAGATGATGCTTACGCTGTGAATTGGTTATTTTTAAGCGTTCATCAATGATATAATTACATTATCTGTATGCTTAGTTTACTGAGTAGTTACCTTACTATGTATTCATATACGTTTTACAATAATTGTATATTACATTTATATATGTATTGTTCATGATATCATGTCTGAATGTTATATATTACAGAATGATATTCAACGTCTCTGCGTATCACAAGTACCCATTTTATTTATTTCTTCGTTTCTTTATTTTTATCTCTATTTTAGAAATCTAAACTCCGCTCAATCTAAGTAAGATTTACATGAGGACAGAACAAAGTAGAATGCGCTTAGATATTGAAAGTCAGCCAATGCTATTTCAAATCACGTTATTTCACATTTGAAGACTTCCAAATACCATTTACAAAGTGTTTTTAAACTGCAAACACCCGGACGGTAGACGGGTCATCTACCCTGATGCCCACGGAGCCGTCGAGGAATTGGTGGATGTATGGATCTGCTATACACAGGTACCGTCCGGGAACGACGTCACTCCACCGGAAATAAGGTCGGGGCTCGTCATGGTTCAAATAAAACGCCACGTATACTTCATCTCTATCTTTGTCCTGCAAAGAAATATGTTATATACACACAAATGTCACTAACCTATTATTAATAAAACACATGAGGCTATGGCAAAATATTTGATAAAGAAAATCAACTGCATGGTATGTCCACGGCACACTTTCTTCAATTTGGAGGAGTAAAAGTATTTTCATTATTTGATAAAGAAAATCAACTGCATGGTATGTCCACGGCACACTTTCTTCAATTTGGAGGAGTAAAAGTATTTTCATTTCCGAAAAAATAAGTAGTGCGTTCTAAACTGTTAAAATTAAGATGTTGCTTTGAAGTATTTTAAGGAAATATAATTTAAACCAAGTGGTATACAAATTAAATGCATGATAATATATTTAACTGACTTCCCTTAAATACCATATACATTTTAAGGGTGGATATTAATATAGGTATTTTTACGAGTACGAAGCTGTGCAAAAATACTGAAATAATCTGCACATCGTTTAGACGAGGATACGCGGGTGCTGATCATCAATATGTCAAAGGTTATCCCATAGTTAAACAATTAATACATTTGTGTAACAGCTTACCTGTAAATATACACAATGTCGCAACACATATGTGTGATATCGCGAAATAAACCCCACAGCTACTCTAGAGGTACCACGTGGTCTCATTCCGAAGTGCTCGTGTGGGATCTCCCGGACGAAGTCCACAATGATGCAGCCTGGGAAAGTCTTCCACGTCAGACTCTTAACTTTGTCAAGGGCGCCTGGTTTAACATAAGAACGATCAGAAAGGTCTGGTGATTTGGGTAACGGACGAGGGCGATTAAAAGAACCACTGCCTGTCGACCTCGCTGATTCTGAGGCGAACGCTTCCTCTCGTCGGTAACCGTCCGTAGTTATGCTCTCGTAAACGTCTTCCTCCGGATCCCTACATAGTAGTTTGTGACTTTTCCAATCCTGACGCTGGCACTTCTTGGAACAATAATCGACCATCTTGCACCGAGCACATGTCTTGACTGCGTCGCTTGCTTTGCCACACACCACACATATTTTGCATCCTGTTCTTCCTGTTCCTTCTTCGTTACTGTGTTCATTAAGATTGCCATCAAAGAAAAGTGCACTGTTTGATAAAAGATCTGACCCGATATGGAGAGACAATTTGTTCTTCTTTATGTATTCCAGACACACCTCATGTGGAATTCCATGCGCTGGTTCCGATGGATACAACGTCCCACCGGTTGCACTTCCACTATTGGGAATATTACCAGAATCTTTTGGATTATCGGCTTGTTCACTTTGTTTACGTTTTTGAATCTCTTTACACTTGGCCTTATGCTGAAGTTTCCAGTCCTCCCTCTGACACACGGTGGAACAGTAGTACACCTGTTGACATGCCGAACACCGCCGAAGACTCAAAGTTTTCTTATCGCAAAATCCACATTTGTTTTCCATTTTATCAAACCTAAAATATGAGATACACAATATATATATCAATATATATACTGTGAAGTGAGAACCTTCAGACGTTATTCGTATAATATACCTTAATGGTAAGTCTTCTAAATTGGTTATTATCAAGGTAGAGATGATTAGATGGCTATCTTACATAAATTCCGTCCGTTCAATAGTCTTTTTATAAACTTTCACAGTTGAATACAAGCAAGGTTGGTTTTGAACACACCCAGGTATTCAAACTTATTTTGCAACTTCTGTTCCCTTTGTCAAGTAAAGAGTGCAATTTACCAGTATCTTCTCTTTAAATCATTGGAAACAACTCACTTATCCACAATGTGTCGAGTCAGTTAAGTCAGCTGTCAGAAAATAACGGGATATTTCGCCAAAGAGGGTTATCATTGCAAGCAGTAAGAGGGACGGGTAAAATAGTTACCAATTCCATTCCTTTGTGGATGCTTAAAATCATTGTACCAGTAAGCAAGGGCAGATCGATCTTCGTTATGGATATAGCAGGATATGAAGAAAACATAACCACCATGCTTAGTGACAACAAAACATACGAGGTACTGACAAAAAAGATCCCATACCAACAGATAAATGTAAATTGGTCACAAATTTCACAAAGGTGAAGAACGTGTGCACTATCAGTGAAGAACAATATAAAAAAATCTACCCTACATCAGAAAATACTACACGGATATAATGTAATTCCAAGGTCTACATCTGTACCAGTAAGGGTATCCATTACGTCTTATTGTGGTTTACACTGGTTTCATTGGGTACAGTGTGTCCAGACTGCTTGCAGACATTCTGGGTCATGTAGTGGGAAAAACAGAACTTCAGGTAAAGCTCAGACGATGTCGATCTGGCTGATATAATTGTTGAAGAGGACGACACTCGAATGACTTTTTGTTCCTCTTTACGAATACACCAATGGACAAGGTAGTTACATTCATAAGGGATAGGTTAAAAGGAGAGAGGACCCTTAAGAACAAGCCTTCCTGTTGACAACATCATTGACTAATCTATTTTGGAGCCACTGGCGCAGTCATCACAATTTCTCCGATGGAACGTCGTCTTAAACTATAGACAATATGTGTTGTCGATATCTTAGAAGAATAGTACGGGTAAACAACCTATCAAGTAACTTTAACCAGGTGGAATATACAGATTACATAAAATTAACATCAGAAGAAGGGGCAGCTGGATGAAATCACTTTCTGGGATACCCTAATCGTAAGAAAAGCTGAAGGTTCCATCAAATTGCTGGAAATCAGAAATAACACTCACAAAGACCAGAACTTCGACTTCAATTAACACCATCGACTGCATCAGAAAGTTATGGGTAATTTGCGCTCTCCTGGACAAATGCATAAACATCGTAACTACACAGGAAGACATGGAAATTAAAAAGCGACATAGCAAACAGGCCCTGACAACGTGTGGATACTTGAAAGGGAGGACAACTAAAAAGTGAGGAAAATAAAACAGACGTGTTCGAAAGCTCGCAAAGTAAGTTTTCAATTACTGTTTGTGTTAAAAACAAACTAAGCATTGTTCAATCATACCAAACTGATAAATCGCAACCCGAACTGACCGGTTGAATATAATCCCTTGATTAAGCGATCATTGTAAAGAAGTTACACATGTTCTTGGAAGAGTGAGGATGAGATCGGGTAATCCCTCTATCCATCCCCTAACACCAAACTTCAACTGATAGTTTTTAATAGTATAATAGTCCTTTAAAGTTTTGTATGCAAAATCATCACTAAATGTGTAAATGAATAAAAAAAATGCAATAACGATACTACAACCAGCTAATAATGATCGCGATAATCATCTGAGCTTCGTAGAGAAAATGTATCAAAAATGCATAACTGTGATATAAGACCATTATGAATACCCACACAGATTTCTGTGTGATTTCAAACAATCCTGGTTCATTGAATGCAAAAAAAATGTTTTATTCTCATTTCTGTCTGGGTGTCATAGTTACAATTGTACAATCGCCAACATTACTTCGTTTAGGCGGGCCACAGTCAAAGGGAGATAACTAGCACACACAACACACCTCGCAATCAACAATGGTATGTTTCCCACACCCAGCTTATTCGTGTTAAATATTAAATGCCGTCAACGAAGAATTTAACAACTGATGTTTCCGGACACTGTGATGAGTGGTCATGTTAATGTTGTGTGCTAACTGAAGCAGGCGATGGCCTCCCAGTCAAAAGGAGATGGCGGTGTTATAAGAACACCATAACCTACTACATAGATAGAACAAAATTTATTGTTATATAATAATAATAATTAAAAAAAAATACAAACCTGTGCTTCGTTATCAAGGTGTCCACCTGTCTCACAATTCACCTACACCCTTTCCTCTAGAATATATACCTACTATCGAATTCTCCGAATCTGATCGTCATTTTAATTTCGTTTTTCAAAACATTAAAATCAAAAATTCTCCGAATCCTATTTTCATTTTCGGTTAGTACGCTTCCCGTTATTTACAACCTGCTAAATAGGTTTGAGTATTCTCGAAATAAAACTTCCGTGTACTACGGGAACGACGCCCGAAAAATGCCTGACATTCTGTGGCATATTTGTGATTCTGGATATCTCAAAAACCGCTTAAAACCTCATACATAAACATCAAACATGAGTCAATCACACTAAAGAGGTAGGGCGTGTTAGGTAGGCTGAACACCTATTCCAGTTCGCTGTATTGACACGGTCTAAAATTTCACGATTTATGACCACGCGCTACATATGTACTTGGATTCGGTGACTCTGTGTCTGAAAATATAACATAAACTCACTGTCATATCAGGTATGTTGGTCAACGCTTATAAATAAAATGTTCATGATATTATAAATAATGTAGGGAAGTTTTATACAAGCAAAACTTTAACTTTAATCCATTAAACATGAAGAATCAATAGGTCAATTGGAGTCATTGTCATATAATTAGGTCATATAACTATCTATATATATACAAAAATAAAAGACAAGAGTTTCTTCGACTTCCCTAACGCTTTCTCCTCTTCAGAGGTTCATCAGGGGAATTGTTTATTCATATTAACAGGACCATAACACAACACAGAAAGTGATGACGTCATGATACATTATGACGTCACAATACAACCTACAAAAATTGACGCCAAAATTTACAATGCACTTTAACGTCAACATTTGAGGAACAACAAAGATGGTGTTACAGATATAGATACAGGTATGCACAGTTACAGGCTTGAGTATAGAAACAGACTTTTTCACATACATTTTCTTTATTTATTCATGCAACGATCTGTGCTGTGGAATTACATGGAACATATCATTTGCACAAGAATGTATATGCTTATTAAACAGTTAAACATCTAAGATGGTCACTTTTTGTCTGTTGTCTGTGAAGTACATACGTTGACGTAGTTCACAACTAGTTTGTCCAATGTAAAATTCAGAACAATTTGCACAGATCATTGCATTCAGAGAACTACTGTTCATATTAGCTGTTACTTTATTTATTTTTTCTCTATTTTTGAATGTAAGTTCTTCTCCTTCAACAATAATACAAAAAAACC